CTCAAGAGAGAATTAATTTCCTCTAATCTTTCCTCATAGCTGATCTCCTCCATGCCTCTTATCTGTTTGGTGCCCTTCTCTGTACTTTCTCCAGTTCCCCAATGTTCTTTTTGTGAATTGGTGCCCAGAGAAAGAGGGGTTGGGGGGAGTCTGAGGAGGAGTGCAGTGTCTGGGGTGGTCGGAAGTAGGAGCAGAGAGAGCTATGTCCAGGGTAAGAGGAGAGAGGGTTCTAAGGGGGTTCGGGGAGGAGAGGGGGGGGGTCTGGGGGTACTTGAGGAGAGGGGGGTTCTGGAGGAGACTGAGAAGAGGGGGGTCTAAGGAGAAGAGGGAGGTCTGAGGAAGAGAGGTGGGTCTGAGCAGAAGAGGGGGGTCAGAAGAAGAGAGGGGGTCTCGGAAGAGGTGTGTCTGAGGAAAAGGGTGGCCTGAAAAAGAGAGGAGAGTCTGAGGAGGAGCGAGAGGTCAGGGAAGTCTGAGGAGGAGAGGAAGGTTGGTGAAGGAGAGGGAGGTCTGAGAAGTGGAAGGTTTTAGGAGCAGCGGGGTCTGGGGGGGAAGTCGGAGTAGAGGCGACGTGAAGAGGAGGGGGAGGGGTCGGAGGAGGAGAAAGGTCTAAGGAGAAGAGGGGGGTCTGTGAAGGAGAGAGGGGTCTTAGGAGGTGAGGTGGGTCTGAGGAGGAAAGAGAGGCCTAGAAAGTAGAGGGCAGTCTGAGGAGGAGAGGGGGTCTGGAGGGGTGTTTGAAAATGAGAGGGTGGTCTGAAGAAAAGAAGGGGGTCCAGGGGGGGTCTGAGGAGGAGAGGGAGGTGTCAGGAGAGGGGGGGGGGTCTGAGGAATCCTTCTCAGGGGCATCTAAAAGGAGAGATTGTGGTCTGAGGAGAGGAGGTCTTTGGTGGATTTGGGGATCTGAAGAGAAGATGGGGGTCTGAGGAGGAAATGGGGGTCTTGGGGTGGCTGTGGAGAAGAGGGATCTGAGAAAGAGAGGGCAGATTTGGGAGGTCTGAGTATGGGGGGGGGTGGAATGATGAGAGGGAAGGTCTTGGGGGTCTTAGGCAGAGAGGGGGAGGTCTGGGGGGGGTATGTGGAGATGGGAAATCTGGGGGGTCTGAGGAGGAGAGGGGGTCCAAAGAGCGGTCTGTGGAGGTTAGGGCTGTCTGGGGGTTCTGAGGTTGAGAAGGTGGTCTGGGGGGGGGGGGTAGTCTGAAGAGGAGGTCTATGAGCGTCTAAGGAGGAGAGGGGGATCTGAACAGGAGTTGTGGGTATGGTGGGGTCTGAAGAAGAAGAGAGGATGGTCTGTGAAGGGTCTGTGAGGGAAGTGGGGGGTCAGGGGAGGAGAAGGTAGTCAGAGGAGTTCTGAGGTGGAGAAGCTGGTCGGGGGTAAAAGATGATTGGGAAGTCAGTGGAGGAGAGAAGGATCTGAAGAGGAGTGGTGGGTCTGGAGAGGTCTGAGGAGAGGATGGTCTGTGGAGGAAAGGGTGGTCTGGGAGTCTGAGAAGGAGAGGGGGTCTGAGGAGAAGGGGGGGGGGGGGGGGTCTACGGGATCTGAGGAGGAGAGGAGAAATGGAATGGTTTTGAGGGGGTCCAAGGAGGAGAGGGAAGGTTTGGGGGTTCTGAAAAGGAGAGGGTAGATATGGGGGATCTGAGGATAAGAAGGGAGGTCTGGGGGGCGTTGATTAGGAGAAGGGAGGTCTGGGGGATCTGAGGAGGAGAGGGAAAGTATGGGGGGGGTCTCAGGACTAGCAAGTTGGACTGGAGGGGTCTGAAGTGAAAAGAGGGGTATGGGGGGGTTCTTAGGGGGTCTGTGGAGGAGAAAAAGGTCTTGCAGAAATGAGGAAAATAAGGTGGTCTGGGGGGGGGGGGGGTCTGAGATGGAGAAGGTGGTCTGGGAGGGTCTGAGGAGGAGAGGAAGTGGGGGGGTCTAAAGAGGATAGGGGTCTCTGAGGAGAGAATGGAGGTCTGTGGAAGATAGGGGGATCTGAAGGAGTGGTGGGTCTGGGTGGTCTGGAAGGAGAGGATGGTCTGTGGAGGATAGGGTGGTCTGGGAGGTATGAGGAGAGAGGGTCTGGGGTTTGAGGAGAAGAGGGGAGTCAGAGGAGAAGAGGGGTCTAGGGGGGAGGAATGGGATGGTTTTAGGGGGTCTGAGGAGAAGAGAGAAGTTTGGGGGTTCTGAGGAGGAGAGGGGAGGTCTGAGGAGGAGAAGGAATGTCATCTGGGAATCTGGGGGAGGGGGGTTTGAGAAGGAAAAGGGAGGTCTGAGGAGGAGAGGGAAGGTATGGGGGGATCTGAGGACTAGAGGGTTGGACCATGGAGAAGAGGACCTGTGGGGGGTCTGAGGAGGAGAGGGGTGGACTGCAGAGAATGGGGGGGGGGGGGGGGAAGGTCTGTGGAGGAGAGTCTGTTAGAGATGTCTGTGGAGAAGAGGAGAGGGGGCTCTTGTGGGGGTCTGAGGAGGAGAGTGATCTCTAAGAGGGTCTGAAGAGTAGGGGGTCCTGGGAAATCTGAGGAGGGGGGTTTGAGAAGAGGGGGGTGTGACGAGGAAAGGGAGGTTATAGGAGGATGGGGGGTTCTGAAGAGAGGAGAGAGGGGAGTCTGAAGTGGAGAGAGGGGTCTGGCGGGTGTCAGAGGAAGCGAGGTCTGGGAAGGAGAGGGTCATCAAGAGGGTCTGAGGAGGAGGCACCTAGGGGCATCTGAATAGGAGAGAGGTAGTACGGGGAGGAGAGGGGTGTCAGTAGGGGTGTCTAAAGAGAAAAGGGGCAGTGTGGGAAAGTCTGAGGAGAGGGTGGGGGGGTATGAGGATGGGGAGTGGGGTTTGGGGCAGGTTGAGGAGGAGAGGGTGTGGTTTGAGGAGGAAAGGGGGGGGGGGGTGGGGGGGTATGAGGATGGGAGTGGGGTTTGGGGGAGGTTGAGGAGGAGAGGGGTGTGGGTTGAGGAGGAAAGGGGAGTCGGGGGGAGGGGGGAGTCTGAGAAGGTGAGGGTTGGTCTGGTTGGTCTGAGGAGGGGAAGTCTGAGGAGGTTAGGACTGGGGGAGAGTCTGAGGAGGAGGGAGAGGAGGACTTGGTGGGGTCTTAGAATAAGAAGGTGTGGCGGAACCGTTCTCCCTGGGCTTCCTTGTGCAGAGCGATGCGTCTCAGCCAATGGTCCCCTTTTCTGGCAAGGCTTCCAGCGCGCTGCCAAGACAATCCTTTCCTGATATCCCAAACGATGAGTCGGCATTTCGTGTAGGGTGAATGAATGAATGCTTATTTTATACAGCACTTCCTGGCAGTAATCCCTGCCTGCTTCACCCCCACCCGCCAGTCTGACACCTGGTTTTCTCTCCACCCACAACAAAACTCTACAACACAACAGCAATCAGCACAGTATGAAATCTAGAGAAGTGAAAGATTACAAGTTCACATTACCCTAAACAAACACTGTAGAATGCCTGTCTACATAACAGCTCCTAAACATATACAGCTTTAAAAAGGGTACAACGGGAAGACCACTTAACAAGGGGGTAAAACCTGAACAGAAAGAGCAAAATGTTATCACAAAGGGGATAGTTCATCACAGAGGGTGGTCTGGGGGTTGGTCTGAGAAGAAGGTGATTTGGGGAAATCTAAGGAGAAGAGGAGGTCTCAGGGGGTTTGAGGAGGAGTGGTGGGCCTGCCAGGGAGGGGGGGGGGGTCTGAGGAAAAGAGAAGGGTCTGAAGAGGAGAGGAGGAGTCTAAGGAGGAGAGGATAGGTTGGGGGGGGGGGGGTTGGGAAAAAAGGGTGGTTCTGAAAAGGGGAGTTCTGGGGGGGAGGAAAGCGGAGGCTTTGGCTGGGACTGAGAAGGAGAGGGGATATGAGTAAGAGAAAGGGGGGGGGGGGAGCAGGAAAGAAAGGTCATAGAAGGAGAGAGGGTTCTGAGGAGGAGAGAGGGGAGGTCTGGAGAGTGTGAGAAGGAAAGGAAGGTCTAAGGAATTAGGAGGGGGGGGAGGGAGCAGGAAAGAAAGGTCTTAAGAGGAAGAGAGGGGAGGTCTGGGAGAGTCTAGAAGGAAAGGAAGGTCTAGGGAATTAGAGGAGGAGAGGGGGGTGGCGGGTCAGAGCAGGAGAGTGGGTTTAAGAAGGAGAGGGGAGGTGTGTGGTGGGGGTAACTATGGAGAAGAGAGGAGGTCTGGGGGGGGGGGTCTGAGGAGGAGAGGAGCAGGTCTGGGAGGTCTAAGAAGGTGAGATGGTGGAGGAGAGCAGTGATCTGGGGGATTTGTGGAGAACAGAGGAGGTTGGAGGTCTAGGGGGGATATGGGAGGGAATAAGGAGGTTTGGGGGGGGTCTGAGGAGAGAGAAGATCTGAGGGGGGTCTAAAATGGGGAGTCAGGGGGGAGGGGGAGTCTGAGGTGAGGGGTTTTGGTCTGGTTGGTCTGAGGAGGGGAGGTCTGAGGAGGTTAGGACTGGGGGAGGGTCTGAGGAAGAGGGAGAGGAGGACTTGGTAGGGTCTGAGAATAAGAGGGTGTGGCGTAACCGTTCTGCCTGGGGGCTTCCTCGTGCAGAGCAATGCGTCTCAGCCAATGGTCCCCTTTTCTGGCAAGTCTTCCAGCACGCTGCCAAGACAATCCTTCCCCGATATCCCAAACTACAAGTCGGAATTTCGTATAGGGTGAATGAATGAATGCTCATTTTATACAGCACTTCCTGGGAGTAATCCCTGCCTCCTTCACCCCCACCCAACAGTCAGGCACCTGGTTTTCCCCACCCACAACAAAACTCTACAACACAACAGCAATCAGTACAGTATGAAATCTAAAGAAGTGAAAGATTACAAGTTCACATTAACCTAAACAAACATTGTAGAATTCCTATAAATGTGTGAGTTAGCGAGCGTACCATATAAAGCTGCTAATGCACCAAAAGGAACCACAAAGCCTTTCTAAGAATACAACATAAAAATAGGGGTGTGCAGCGCTATACAGATAAACACACTATCATAGATATGGCAAAAAAGGAAGAAGTCCTGTAAACTGAATGGTAAACAGTCTGAGGTAATATATATGATTTCAATCCAAATGGGTATATTCCAGTGATGCAGTATATATGACTTCAATCCAAATGGGTATATTCCAGCATCCTGACATGAAGGTGTAGAAAAATTGCCCACTCACTGGAAGTGCAATTTTAATGTGCACATAGAAATTCCATGTAGCCGGAGGTCCCGTGAAGGTACAGCCTGATGATAAAGGTATCCTCTGGTGCAGTGGTCGGCAAGCCGCGGCTCGCGAGCCACATGCGGCTCTTGTGTGCCGGGCGCCCGCTCCCTCCCTCCTCTCGGGCGGCAGGGACTCTGCAGCGTGATCCAAAAAAAAAACAGCCAGGGCAGCGCGCTCAAATGCAATGATTGGCCAGTCTCGCTGCCACTCACATCCTGATAGCCAGTGATTGGCTGTCAGGATGTGTGTAGGCGGGGCAGCGTGACGAACGGGAGAGGAGCTAGGCTCCTCTCACAGTCCGCCCTGAAGACCGGAACGGCGCGGGGAACACGGCAAGAGGAATGCGCGGAGCAAAGGTAAGTGAATTGACACAGGGGGGACTTGGCTTACTACTTGCTACTTACTTACTACTACTATATGGGGGATGAATTACTATAGGGGGGATGAATTACTATATGGGGGATGAATTACTATATGGGGGATGAATTACTATATGGGGGATGAATTACTATGGGGGATGAATTACTATATGGGGGATGAATTACTATATGGGGGATGAATTACTATGGGGGATGAATTACTATATGGGGGATGAATTACTATAAAAACTTATTGAAACTAAAAACAGTGTACCATCCTATGTATTTTCAGTTTTAAAAATGTGGCTCTCAAAATAAATTTCAATCGTGGTTTTGGCGAGATTTGGCTCAGTTGGGAAAAAAAAGGTTGCCCACCACTGCTCTGGTGGTTATTGAGGTGACATCTGCCAGGGATGATGGTCTGGACCTATTTCCCAAATCCTCCAGCCTGGGCGGGACTCCTGGAATGCTGGGCTGAGATGTGAAGGCTCAGTGCCTGGTAACAGTGATGAAAACTCTCATAGTGTAGTAATGTAAAATTTATTATGAAATATTATGGTATAAAAATGAGCGTACAGGGTGATTGTAACCAATACAAATAATCATGAGCTCTTGACTACACTGACCAGTGGATAAATATGATGGGCACCAGACCTCCTGATCCGGTGGCGTGACGTCAAGGCGTGCAGAGGCTCCTCCTAGACGAGCTTTGTGTAATAACACGTCTCCTGTAGGGGTCTGAGGTGATTTAAGAGGGCTAGGGGATCCGTGGTTGGGGGGGGGGTCTGAGGTAGAATGAGGAAGACTGAAGGATTTCTGAGGAGGGGAGGTCTGAGGAGGTAAGAGTAGGTCTGGGAGGTCGGAGGATAGTGGTGGTCTGGGAGATCTGAGGAGAAGAAAGGAGGCCGGGGGGGGGGGGGGGTCTGAGGAGAAGAGAGGAGGTCTGAGGGGAGTATAATGTGGAGTGAGGAGGTCTAAAGGAGAGAAGGTGGCCTGGGGGAGGGGGGATTCTGAGGTGGAGAAAGGAAGCTAAGGGGGTCTGAAGGAGCAGAGAGAGGGTCAGGGAGGTTGGGGTCTAATGAGGACAGGGGAGATCTGGAAAGACTGAGAAAGAGAGAGGCGGTCTGAGGTGGGAGTAAGGAGGTCCAGGGGGTCCGAGAAGGGTTGGGGGGGTCTGAGGAGGAGTAAGATGGCTAAGAGGGTCTGAGGAGAGAAGAGATCGGGGGGGGGGGGGTCTAAGGAGGACAAAGGATGCCTGGGGGGTCTGAGGAGAGGAGGATTGGGGACCTGAAAAGATCTGAGGAGTAGAGAAGAGGTTTGGGGGGGGGGAGGACTGAAGTGGAGTGAGGAAGTCTGGTGGGGAATTTGAGGGGGGGAGGGTAAGTCTAGGGGGTCTAAGGAGTTGAGATGAGGTATAAGGTGGAAAGTGGTGGTCTGGGGTGCATGACGAGGAGAGGGGAGGTCTGGAGGGGTCTAAAGAGGAGCGAGGATGCCTGGCAGGTCTAGGGAGGAGTGAGGATGCCTGGCAGGTCTAGGGAGGAGCAAGGAGGAGGCAAGGATGCCTGGAGGGGAGGGGAGGCCTAGAGGCTCTGAGGAGGAGAGAGGAGAACTGAGGGGGGTCTGAGGTGGAGTTAGGAAGCTAAAGGGATCCAAGGAGTAGAAAGGAGGTCTGAGGGGCTCTGAGGTGGAGTGAGGAAGTCTGAGGGGGTATGAAGAAGGGAGGAGTTGAGTTGAGGTTGTAAGAGGAGAGCAGTGGTCTGGGGGGGGGGGGGGGGGGGGTCTAAAGAGGATAGAGAGGTCTGAAGAGTAGAAAGGAGGCCTGGGATAGTCTGAGGAGGAGAGATGAGGCTAAGTGGTCTTGAGGAGGAGAGAGGAGGTCTGGGAGTTTGAAGGAAAAGAGGAGGTTTGGGGGGGTGTTCTGAGCGCCAAGGGGGGTCTAAGGAGGGAGAGCAGAGGTCTGGGGGGTCTGAGGAGTATAAGGGAGGTCTGGAGGGGGTCTGAGGAGTAGAGGAGAGGTCTGGAGGGGGTCTGAGGAGTAGTGGGGAAGGTTGTGGGGGAAGGGGGGGGCGGTGTGAGGAGATGAGAGGAGGTCTGGGGAGTTGAAAGGAAGGTCTGAGAAGAAAGGAGGTCTGGAGGGGTGTGAGGAGTAAAGAGGAGGCTTGGGGAATCTGAAGGAGGCGGCTAAGGGGGTCTGAGGAGGAGAGAGGAGGTTGAGGAGGAAAGATGGCTAAGGAGTTCTGAGGAGGTGAGAGGAGGAGAAGGGAGGTCTGAGAAGAAATTAGGTCTGGGGGTGGTTTGAGGAGTAGAAGGGAGGGCTGAGGGAGGAGGGATCTGAGGAACAGAGAGGTCTGAGGGATATGAGGAGGAGAGATGAGGCTAACAGGATCTGGGGGAAGGGGGACTGAGGAGGAGAGAGGAGGTCTGAGGATTCTGATGAGAGAGCAGGTCTTTGGGGTCTGAGGGGGAGAGAGGAGGTTAAGTGGGTTTGCGGAGGAGAGAGGAGATGTGGGAGTTCAAAGGAAAGGAGAGGAGGTTTAGGGAGGGTGTTATGAGCTGGAGAGAGAAGGTTTTGGGAGGAGAAAGAAGGCCAAGGGGGTCTAAGAAGGAGAGCAAAGGTCTGGGAAGGGTCTGAGGAGGTGAGGAGAGGTCTGGGGGGTCTGAGGAGGAGAGGGAAGATCTGGGGGGGTCTGAGGAGGACAGGGAAGGTCTGGGGGGGTCTGAGGAGAAGAGGAGGCCTGGGGGTCAGAGAGGAGGTCTGGGGGAGTTTCATGAGGAGAGAGGAGGTCTTGAGCGTCTGAGGAGGGGGGGGGGGGGGGAAGGAGAGTCTGAGGAATATAGGGGAAGTCTGATGAAGATAAAGTAGGCTAAGGGGGGACAGAGGAGAAGGTTTGAGGGGGTCTGATGAAAAAGAGAGGAGGTTGGGAGTAGGAGATAGAGGGCTAAGGGGTTCTGAGGAGGTAAGAGGCGGTAGGAGGTCTGGGGGGGTCAGGACTGAGGAGAAGAGAGGAGTCTGGAGGGGTTCGAGGTGGGAAAAGAAAGGTCTGAGGAGGAGAGGGGGGTTGGGAGAGGTCTCTGAGAGGGAGAAGGGGGTCTGGGCAAGTCTGAGGAGAGGGTGGTCTTGGGATGATGAGAGGATGCTCTGATGAGGGTCTGAGAGGAGGAAGGGGGATCTTTTATGAGTCTGAATAGGAGAGGGGGGGGGCTGAAAAGAGAGGGGTGTCTGAGGGGGAGAGAGAGGACTGGGAGGTCTGAGGAAAGTGGGGGTCTGAGGAGAGAGGGGGTCTGGGGGGGGTCTAAGGAGGAATGGTGGGTGTGGGGGGCGTGATTATGGTAGGGGTCTGAGGGAGGAAACAGGGGGTCTGAGGAAAGGAAGAGAGAAGGTCTAGGGAGGTTTGAGGAGGAGGAGGGGGGCTTGTGGGGGGGTCTGAGGAGAGAGGGGTCTGGGGTCTGCAGAGAGAGGAGTCTGAGAATGAAAGTGGGGTCTGAGGAGAAGAGGGGGGGTCTGAGGAGGAGAGGGGGCTCTGAGGAAGAGAGAGCGGTCTGAGGAGGAATAGCAGGTCTGGGGGGGGTGTGAATGAGGGGAGGGAAGTCAGAGGAGGAGAGGGGGGTCTGAGGAGGAGAATGGGCTCTGGCAGAGGTCCGAGAAGGAAAGAGCAGTCTGGGGAGTCTGGGGAAGAGAATGGGGTCTGAGGAGGAAAGGGGCGTCTGAGGAGGTCTAGAAAGAGAGAGGAGCTGTCTGTGGGTTCTGATGAGGGAAGGTCTGGGAAGGAGAGGGGAGGTCTGAGGAGGAAAGGTCTGAGAAAGAAAGAGGGGAGGTCTGAGGGGGGGTCTTAGGAAAAGGTATTAGGGAAAGAGGAGTGATCTGAGAAGAAAAAAGGGGGTCTGATTAGGAGGGGGGGGGGGGGGGGTCTGGTGTGGTCTGAGGAGGAGAGGGACATCTGGGGGGGGTCTGAGGAAAAGAGGGGATGTGGGGAAGGTATGGGGGTCCGAGAAGGAGGAGAGGGGAGGTCTGGGAAAGATACCAGGGTCTGTAAGGGGGTCTGAAGAGGTGAGGGACAATGTTGGGGGAGCATGAGGAGGGTAAGGTCTGAGGGGTAGAGGGGGAGGTCTGAGAAGGAGGTCTGAGGAGGGGAGGAGGGTCAGAGAGGAGGAAAGGGCGGGCCTAAAAAGAGGGAGGTCTGGGGGGTGGGGGGTGTCTAAGGAGGAGAGAGGAGGTCTGTGGTCGATCTGAAAAACGGGAGATCTTAGGGGTCTGAGGAGAGGGTAGGTCTGGGGGAGTCTGAAGTGGAGTGAGGAGGCTAAAGGGATCTGAAGAGTAGAAAGGAGGTCTGAGGGGTCTATGGTGGAGTGAGGAAGACTAGGTGGTCTTGGGATGAAAGAGGAGGCTAGGGGGTCTGAAGAAAAGAGAGGATGTCTGAGGGGGATCTGAGGAGGAGAGAAGAGGTCTGGAGGGGAGGCTGAGGTGAAGAGAGGAGCTGGGGGGGCTGGGGGGGGGGGGCAGGGGAGGAGAGGGGAGGTCTGTAGCGGTCTAAGGAGGAGGAGAGAGGAGGTATGGGGGGTCTGAGGAGGAGAA